CTGCACATAAATGAAGAGGCAGTCATCAGAAGAGAACAAGTCAACATTGCATTACTTAAAATGAGGAAAGTATTTCTCAGAGTTGAATCCTTTCACCATACTTGTTCAATCTGATTGTTGAGCAAATAATCCAAGAAGATGGATGTGGTAGTTAAGTTTGTGCGTCAACTTGGCTGGGCCTGGTTGAGTGGCTGGGCAGCTGGTGGTAGTGATTCCCCATGATGAGACTGGCGATCAACTCCATGGTGGGACGTACTACAAGCAGCTGAGTAGCTGCTTTAGGGATGTGGTCTGCTTCCCATATATAGAAACAGCTTTGGGAATGGTCTCTGGCCTATGTAATGCTTGGACCCTGCATGTGGCTGTCGTTCAGCAGCCTGCCACATTCTGCAGACCTTAGGACTTTCAATGGACTTGGAATGAATGGCCTGCCATGGGGTTTGGTAACATTGGGACTGTGCCATTTTATTTGTCAACCTTGGGCTTGTTAGCCTCAGCAGCCAGTAGCTACCTGAGTGAAGAGATGCCTCTAGCTTCAGTGGGCCAGGAGCAAGAAGCAGAGCTGAAGCTCAAGGTTGAGGGGCTTTCACACAGCCCCTAGAACCTGTCACTTTGAATTCGGACTTCTAGCCTCCTGAACTGTAAGAGAATAAACTCCTGTTTGACAAGGCCATCCCATTTGTGGTATATTCTTGTCAGAGTATGTCTAGCACTAGGTAACCAGAACACTGGATTATATGAAGAATGTGGCATCAGCACTGGATGAAGACTCATTAACAACCTGTGCTACACAGACGATACAACCTTGCTTGCTGAAAGTGAAGAAGACTTGAAGCACTTACTGATAAAGATCAGAGACTATATAGCCTTCAATATGGATTGCAACTCAATATAAAGAAAAAAAAAATCCTCACAAAATGATAAATGAAGACTGAATTTGTCAAGGATTTCATTTTACTTGGATTCACAATGCACAGAAGCAGCAGTCAAGAAATCAAACAACATACTGCTTTAGGCAAATCTGGTACAAAAGAACTTTTTGGAGGTTAAAAAGCAAAGACCTCGCTTTGATGACTAAAGTGTGCCTGATCTAAGCCATGGTATTTTCAGAAGCCTCATATACATGTGAGAGCTGGAGAGTGAATAAGAAGACCACAGAAGAACTGATGCATTTGACTTGTGGTGTTGGCAGAGAATACTGAATGCATCATGGACTGTTAGAACAAACGAATCTGTCTTGGAGGAAGTACAACCTGAATGCTCCTCAGAATCGAGAATGGCCAGACATTCTCTCTCATACTTTGGTCATGGTGTCAGAATGGACCAATTCCTGAGGAAGAATATCATGCTTGGTGTGGGGTTGGTGAAAAAGGGGAAGACCCTCAACAAGATGGACTGACAGTGGCTGTGACAATGGGCTCAAGCATGGCAACAACTGTGATGGTGCAAGACAGGGTAGTATTTCATCCTGTTGTACATAAGGTCACTATGAGTCAGAACTGACTCAACAGCACCTAACAACCACCACCAGCTAATTATTACCAATACTACAGTTATACCAATTATTGATTAAGACACTAAAATTAGTACATTCACACAGCAAAACTAAACCAGCTGCCATCAATTCCAACTCATGGCAGCCCATGGATGTCAAAGTAGAACTGCACTCTACAGGATTGTCAATGACTCTAATCTCTCAGAAACAGATCACCAGGCCTTTCTAAAAAAAGTGAGAAAATGGGAATGGAATGTACAACTCTATTCAATTAGAAGTACTTTTAGAGAATTTTATTTAACTATAAATTTATCACCAACATTTACAGTTTTGCTAAATATATTAAGAATAAAATGTAAATTAAATACTCTGAAAGTATATTTTTAATGAAACATAGTCTTAGTAGCATACAGACATATAAGGTCAGTGGTTTTATTGCATTGTTAGAAAATTATATTATAAAGATACGAAAGAAAATCAATGGATGTCATTATTTGTTTATTTTACAATCAGTATGCCATCATTTACCATTATGGCTGTAAATTTTCATTCTGCCCAACAGGTTTCAAAGAATAGTTTATTACATGCCTTAATAAAACATTTAAAATATTTACAAATTCAAAATAAATGTTTCATAACTGAAAAAATTCACCTGAGAATTCATTATAACATTGTCATTTGTTTGACTCATTTTTTTCCCAAGTTGTTAACGTGGCAGAAGGTCCACATGCAACCTGTATCGTCATCTACTGCATTAAATATATTTAATTCCTCATTTGCAATAGGTTGAGCATTACACTATAGTAAATTATAAAACTTACACAGTAGAACTGTGGTTATATCCACATTTGCTTTGAATGGGAACAATTCAACAAATTATTTGCTATAGCTATAGAATTCAAATAAGGAAAAAAAAATTAAAGTAATGTTATTCACTGAATTAGACATAACAGCTTTTTGCAAATCATCAAGCATTGAGAAGGTCAGTTCATAAAACAAGGAACAATGATCATGTAAATATGCAATGTACAAACTGAAAACAGTCTATTCAAAATTCTGCATGAAGGAAAAGGTATACACTGTATACACATTATCCTGTCATTTGTCTTCGGCAGACTCAAAAAAAAAAAAATACAAACTTGAAACAAATTTTCTTAAAAAAACTTCGTCAGAAGTTAATGGTAAATTAGGCATAAATGTGTAATGCTATGCAATATATAGAAAACTTCCCCATCTTATGGCCAAATGAGAAAAGTCTTTTTTATCTCTCCATCCAGCTGTACTATAACTTGAAAAATCATGTGGGTATGAGGTAGTGTAGTTACTTGTATTACATGCTGGCTGTTAAAAGTAATGCTATATTTTAAGAAATATTGCAGTTGGCCAATAATCAGAACACCATTAAAATAAATCCATAATACTAAACTGTTTATATGTAGAGAGAAACTTAAACCAAGTGCCTTAAAAATCTCTGGAGACAACTTAATTTCATCACAAAATAGTAAGTAACCTTTCAAAGCAGTTATCTACAGAAGCAATGAAAGAAAAGATTATCTGACATTTGAACATACACAAATCGAAATGACAAACAGTTCAGTGTACACTGAGGTAGAAAATCAAGGATTCCATTGGCTTGTATAGAGTTTACATTGTGTAAACCAGCAGTTTTTATATTATTTTATATTGTGAAGCTGAAAATTAAAATTACAACTATCAAAGAAAGAGCTACATGGGGATATTTATACACAATTCTTTTGTAGTATGGAACACATTATAACAGAATTACCAATTTCCCTGACAAATTCTTGAGTGTACTTATAAAAGCTTCTAGAAATTAAACAAGCCCAACTAGTTTCCTCTTATAACTACTAAGTCAATAACAGAGATAACATACAAACCACTGAGAATATCATACACACACACACACACACACTCTCACTCTCTCTCTCTCTCTCTCTCTAAGGTAACATTTGACCAATTACTCTGAAAATATTAAGACTGGTCCCATATACTCCTGTGGTACTTGCTTCAGACTCATCCATTCCTGGCAGACTGTTGTCCCCTACATTAGTCACACAGGACCTTCACTAGACTCAGGGTGCACTTTATAGAAATGTCTCCTTCAGATGTCTGAAATGAAGTCTTTCCTAATGCAAACAGTAAACAACTTTTTTGTACCCTTTAAAACTGGGTTCTGTAGATGTTTCTGTGAATATGAGCATATGCATTTTTTTTTTCATTGTCGAAAGGGTACAAAACTTTCATTTGATACTCAAATAAGTCTGTAACACAAAAATGGCTAAGAATCATTGCAAAATGTTATGGGATAGGCAAAGAATGATTATGAAATGCTCAAGTCAAAATGGTTTTTGTGCCCTTATACCACATCAAATTTGAAGGAGAGAGCAAAGATTAAATCTGGTATCCAAATTCAAACCCACAATGGATCAAGATCTACTTTTCCCCAAATTTCATCCTATTTCACAAATCTACATGGTTTCTGTAGGTACATTTTAATTTACTATGTGTTTCACAAATAAACCACAAGACCCCAAAAATACAATGGAAAACAATCAATCACCACTCCTGGTAATGTAAACAATTTTCGTTGCCCCTGATGTCTGGTCTTCTTGTATCGTTAACCAATGGCGGGATGGTAAACAGCCTTGTATTTTTGGTAATCTCTCCAGGATCCTAAGGAAGCTAAGATAACACAGCCAATGCATTCACTCATTCACCCATGCCCCTGTATCCTGAGTCCTATTTCTTCTTCCAAAGGGACAAGAATGTCAGGAGTGGGCTGAGATGTGGTAGGGACTAAAAAGAAAAGAAAACAGGACAATGATACTTATCTATTGTTTATGCAGCCAGAATTTCCATGACTGATATTGGTAAACTCCCCACCTTAGGCCAACCACCTGTCTTTACTAAATATTCCCATGTAGCTTGAGAGTCACAATGAAGTCCAAACAACCTCTGGCTTCAGTAGGAGCTAAAGAGCAAAGTTCTAGGATTCAGGCAAGATGCTTTATTTTTCACACTGCAGTCCTACACAAATATGTAGTCCTACAGTGGCCAAAACCTTACTTCTGATTAGGAGAACACTCTTTCATCATTGCTTGGGGGAGGTGGGAGGGGATCTTCCCTTTCAGTATACTGCAAAAAGGGCACATTATTCATTAGAAAGAACTGTCTGCAGATGTTTCAAACTGTTAAATTGTTGTTTGATATGCTGCAGTTCTCATGCTCATATTTATTTTGAATACTGGGAAGAGTTATTACTAATGGTTATTACTCTTTAAAATATGAATATTAAAGGTCTACTGAATTTTCACATGTGATTTTTCAGTATCCAGGAGGTAAATCATTTCTGCATCTCTTATGGAAGTCAAGAAGTTAAGGTTGACTTAAGAGAAATTACCCCAGAAACAATACATACAGTTAAGAGACAGATGGCTGTATTAGGCTTTGAAAAAAATGTCAAAACCTCAGTAGAAAATTAGATGGTTTGAAGGTAGTGAATGCAAATCCATGTTTACTCATCAGTAGTACACTTATCAGTCATCTGCTGACAGAAATCTGAAATGCCTCCACTCTGACGACACTGTTCCATCAGCCCAGAACGCGCACAGGCAGCTATGGACGTCTGCTGTGACTCTTGCCCCCCCTCACAACCAGACTCGGACCCATTGTTTTCTCTTGCACAGGGGTAGCAAGGGCCTTGCTCACTGGCAGGCAGCACAGCTGGAGGCCCATCAGGTAAGCTAAAAATTGATGGTAATACCAGTTCACCATGAGACGTACTTTTTTCTTTTTCAGAAATTAAAAACGAAAGTGGGCAATCTGAGGCTGAGTACTTGGCAAGGATCTGTATTTGTTCTTGACTTAGAGCTGCTTCTTTACAGACTTGCTGGCAAAGTCCAGTTAGGTTCTGCTTTGTCTCACCCAGAGTTGACAAGATGTGATCTCTTTCCTTCAACAAGCTCTCTTTTTCATTTTGCTGTGAAAAGGGTAAAGAGAACACAGACTTGTATTAGTTTAGTACCCAATTACCATCTCTAAGGTGACTAAACATCCACATCTATAGCATGTTTTCCTTAAATAAGATCAAGTAGAATTTTTCCTTCCAATTTAATTCTAATATATAAATATCAAAGGCCACATCCTCATCCAAAACCCTCGGTGGTTAGAGGAGGTCAGAAGATGTGGTCTTCTTGCCTCTTTGGCAACATTTTACATGGAATGAAGACAAAAGTCCTCTTAAACAAGTACAGTGAACACAGCTTAACTAGTTAGAGACAAATCACGGCAAGAGTCTACTTATGACTGATGTTTGTTGAGTATTTACTTTGTGCCAGATTTCGGGCTAGATGTTTTCAAATAAGCAATCTCCGGTAATGCACACATTGGCTTTGTTGATTTAAGTGATATTAAACCCCCATTTTACAGATGAGACATAAAGTTTAGCATCTCCAGAGTCAGGAAGTTAGTGTATTAAATTTCTAAAGTGTGAAAGGTTTTTTTTGGGGGGGATTTTGTGTGTGAATTATTATTTTAAATTTTATAGGAAATTCTACCACGGAATTTTTCAGAAGTTTTTCCTAATTCCTGCCTTTCTGTCCACCATCATTTATTACTGCTGACTGCTTATCTTTTTCTATTATTGCCCACCTCATCCTTCCTCTTCTACCACTTCACTGCTTCTAATTTACTACGCTAGGAGCTCTGGTGGTACTATGATTAAAGCACTGGGCTGCTAACCAAAAGGTTCAAACCCACCAGCCACTCCACAGGACAAAGATGATGCAGTCTGCTTCCATAAAGATTTATAGTCTTGGAAACTATGTGGACAGTACTATTACTCCTTCCCATAGGGTAGCTATGAATCAGAAACAACTCAATGGCAGTGTGTTTTAATTAGGAGCTCTGATGGTGTAGTGCCTAAGGCATCTGACTGCTAACCAGAAGGCTGGCAGTTCAAACGCCAGCCACTCCTTGGAAGGAAGGTTGGGCAATCTACTTCCGTAGTGATACCGCCTCAGAAACCCAAGGAGGGGTCACTATGAGTCAGATCCGACTCGATGGCAGTGTGTTGTGCTGTGTTTATGAGGTAAAGAACCAAATAATCAAGCCATTTATTTTGAAAAAAAAAACAAAACAAAACTCAGTGCTATCAAGTCGATTCTGACTCACAGCAAGCCCTTCTTGGGTTTCCAAGGTCGTATCTCTACAGAAGTAGACAGCCTGATCTTCCTTCTGAGGAGTGGCTGATGAGTTTGAACTACCAGCCTTCTGGTTAACAGTCAAATTCCTTAGGCACTATATATATCACCAGAGCTCCTGTAAGAGTACTGGGGAACAGGATACTCACAAAGTACCTAAGTAAAACCCATTAACTACTGAACAAAGGCAAAAAGTAACTTTGAAAATGAATGGCAATTCCTACCTACACAGGTGAGACACCCTGACACTCTGTACTTTCTAAAAACGATGCAATATGAAGGATATAACACCACCAATGAATGTTTAATCTCAATCTAAGAACTCAAACTCTTCCATTTTATGTGAAATACAGAGAATGGAGGAATAAATTCAGTAACACCACGAGGAAACAATCAGACAAATATAATAAGCCTGACCTGGACTCTATAAAAGTTATTGCTACAAAAAAAAAAAGGAGGACTTTTCTAGATTAAGACTAAAAAGATATAACCAAATGCATTATATGATGACTGGATCCTAGTTTGAAAAATCAGCATCTATGAAAGATTTTTATGGTATGATTATAGTAATCTGAATATGGATTAGCTATAATATTGGAGGTTTATTAATTTTCTCTGGTAGTGTAGTGCATAAGGCACTTGACTGCTAACCAGAAGGCTGGTGGTTCAAACCCACCAGCCACTCCTCAGAAGGAAGATGGGGCAATCTACTTCCATAGTAATACTGCCTCGGAAACCCAAGGAGGGGTCGCTATGAGTCGAGTCTGACTTGATGGCACATAACAACAACAACATTAATTTCCTCAGATATGATAAAGGTATGGGTCATGTGTGAGAATATCTATTATTAGAAGATGCATGTTTAAGCATTTAGGGATGTGGTAACTTTCAACAGACTCAGAAAATAAAAGAAGAGCAAGAGAGACAGACAGAAGACAGACAGTGAAACTAAGAGGTGAAAGACCATGATCAATGAACTAGGATTCAAAAGGGATCAAAACTGACTTATAGGTTGCGGAGACAAACACCTACCAACCAATCAAGGCAAGGAGACAGACCAGGAAGAGGAAGTATGACAGACTCGGGCAGAGAGAGACAAACAGCAAGAGAGATAAAGTAAATGTGGCAAAATATCAGTAATTGTTGAATGTAAGAAGAAAGAATAATTTATGTCACCATTCATTTAACTTTTCTGCAAGCTTGATATGTTTAGAGTCAAGAATGGGGGAAGTTGAGGTCTGGGATGGGACCAAGAAATATGCAATATCAAGGGGCACCTCGAGATAACTCTGATGTAGATGATCACAGACCACATTTCACATGTGTTGGTCTAGGGCACCAAAGAATGACAGAGAACAGATTACAGATGGGCCCAATAAGAAGGGCCCAAAGAGACATGTATGAGAATGGCAATGTGCTGGGTATGGGGCAGCCAGGAGAGTGTGACTAGTGGATAGAACAGGTTTATTTATGATACAATAATATAGTCTTCATTACAAACTATAAAGTTAAAGACAAATGAGGTCATTTTATAGTTATCCCATCACAACATTAAGGGAGATGAAACAAAATAGTGTCTGAGCACCACAACCCTGAGTTCAAATATGGCTCATGAATATTCTCATTTCTGATCACTTATTATAACTTGATGTCAATTAACAATATCTGAGATATTCTAAGAGAAATATATTTGGTAATTAATTTTTTCTTTAAAGAGTAATATTCCTTTAATTTCAACATTATCTTTGTGACTAAAACAGCATCAAAAACAAGCATATTTTCTAACTTCTGTGTTGATCCTTCCTATTCCTAGAAAAGAACAAATTTGAGCCTTGCAAGGAATCTTATAAAAATAAGAGCTTTGTAATTATTAATAATTTAATATGAACTAACAAATCTCCCTTTGACTTTCCCAGCACATTAAGACTATTAAAGCAACTATTACATATGATTATATTGTTGACCCACTTTGCAAACATTATATGTTTGACTGATTATTGTTATTATAATCAAAACAAGTTTTTCATCCATAGTCTATTATGCTATGGTCCATTATGACTAACTGCAAAAAATTATAAGATTCCTTTCTAGGAAAATGAACAGCCAACAGTCAAAGATCAAAGCTTACTAAAATATGAGGCCCATCACCTATATTCAGACCAAACCCAGGCAGTTAAGTACTGTGAGTTTATGTATAGGCATATTATGTATAGGATTATAAATGAGATCTGTCTTTAAGTCTAATTTCCAGGTAAGTCAAAACAGGTGTATATAGTTTTTATTTAGGTTTACTTTAGTAAGGAGCATTGGTGACATAGTGGTTAAAGCATTCTGCTGCTTACTAAAAGGTCAGTGGTCTGAAACCACCAGCAAGCAGCTCTACAGGAGAAAGATGAGGCAGTCTGCTACTGTAAAGATTTACAGCCTTGGGAACCCTATCAGGCAGTTCTATACTGTCCTGTAGGGTTGCTATCAGTGACAACTGACTCAATGGCGATGTTTTATTTTCTGGTTAGGCTCAAAGCCTTTTTTGATGATTTAAAACTGCATGTGCAGCAAGTGAAGGTAATTGTGATGAAGAATTTGTTGTGAGTAGGGGTTAGTTTGTTCAATAGTTACAAAGTAAAGGCAAATTTATATAACATTAAAAAGCAAGTATGAGTAGTCCCTAAGTCATACATCCATAACCCCGGAGACTTAATTAATATGTTAAATTCAGTCACTGGGTATATGAAAATGACTGTTTAATAATGAAACAAGTAATTTCCCTTAACTAGGTCTGCTAAAATCCCATCCAAACTGTAAAGACTGGGAACACTGCTTGTCTACAGGCCATGTTCCAAAAAGTGGTATCTCAATTTAGAAGAATATCTGTTCACATTCCTCTGTAACCTCAACTCCCCATGCTACCAAACTCAAAGCTGTGAGAGAACTGTAACCAAGATGGGGTGGTTATAACTCCTTTCGGTTCTTCTAGCTTTACAAAAGGCAAGCTCAGTAACAATGCCCGTTAGTAGGGACCAAATAAAGCTCTTAATTTAATAAACATCTATGTTAAGTATCAAATCCTTTTATTCTAGGAAAAGGGCAAGTTTTCTTATTCCTACTAGATAAAAAATAGCACATTTTTGGCTTATTTTCATCTAAGAAAGACACTGTGACAGAATGAAACATATACTGCGTCCTTAAACTATATGTTACATATTGAATTGTGTCACCAAAAAACATACATCAATTTGGCGAGGTCATGATTCTCAGAATTATGAAATTATCCTCTGTTCTGTGATGTGATGTACTTATCCTATGTGTTGTAAATCATGACCTTTATGATGTTAATGGGGAGCTCTGGCAGGGTAGTGCCTAAGGCATTTGACTGCTAACCAGAAGGCTGGCGGTTCAAACCCACCAGCCGCTCCTCAGAAGGAAGGTTGGGCAATCTACTTCTGTAGTGACACCACCTCGGAAACCCAAGGAGAAGTGATACCACCTCGGAAACCTAAGGAGGGGTTGCTATGAGTCAGATCTGACTCGAAGGTAGTCAGTTTGTTTTTTCCATATGATGTTAATGAGGCAGTGTAAGAGGCAGTTATGTTAATGAGGCAGGATGCAATCTAAAGGATTAGGATGTATCTTGAGTCAATCTCTTTTGAGATATGCTGTTGTTCTTAGGTGCCATTGAGTTGATTCTGACTCAAAGACCCTATGTAACAACAGAACGAAACACTGACTGGTCACACACAATCCTTGCTATACTTGACCCCATCATTGGAGCCATTAT